GGAAGAAAATAAAAAAGCAAGTTAAGCAAGTTCTGTGAACCAATGACTAACCCTAAACTACTATAATGCTTCAAATTATCTTTAAAATAAAAAGCGACTACTGCCATAACATTCTCAATGACTTCCCTAAAGCAGCCAGAATTTCTGTTTTACTATGTAGGGAATATTGAAAGGAAAGAATCTATCTTAAAATTTGCTGAAAATTAAATCTCTTCTACACACTGAATTCTAATTCACAAAAAGTTTAGAAGATTTAATAGTTTATAATCCAATTTCTTAATATATAACACTACAAAATAAAATATCCAATTACTTTGTAGATAATAGGCCCAGAGCATTTATCACCAAGTAAAACCAGATGAGAGACTGTTATCTTATTTGAAAATTTAATGTAGTAACCAGCAAATTAAATTCCAGAGCTTCAGGAACGAGGCTATAAACCACAAAGCTGAACACCATGTGGATTTTCAGAGTGACTCTGGAATAAGAAAATATTCCTTTTAGACAGAAGCTGGTTTCTACAGTGCAACATGTAACTGAGCAGCAGAAAACGTACAGATCACTAGAATTTTTTAAAAACCTGAACATCCATTTAAAGATGGAGACTGTTTTTCATTCAAGACTTTTTGTGTTTTGTTTTATGGAAAAAAATGCAGAATGAAAAATTTCTCATGTACATCTGGTTGACTGTGCAGGAGCCCTACTTGAGAGGTTAATTTTCTTCAGAATGAGCTCTAGTAATACAAAATAAAAACATATTCAGATCTTAACTCTGTTCTTATAAGTCCAGCATCTATTCCAATAGTGTATTTCAGCAATGCTACAATGGATATACTTTTGTGATATTTAGATGATACTTTTGTGATATTTAGATGCCTCACTATTTAGGCTTAATCTGGTAAATAATGTCATGTCAGACGTGAAGCATTAGTAAACATAGGAAGTCATGTTCTAAGCAATACTCTTTTGATTAATATTAATTATAACAGCCTTGTTAATTGTAATTGACTCTTCCTCAGATTCTGTAACATGCACCACAGAATTGCATATCAATTAAATCAGAGTTATAAATATATCCTGAAAGGGGCAGTGTTTCTTGACAGTAATATTTTACTGCAACATAGCTTTATACATCATTTTATATCCTGGGCATACTGCCAATATTGCATTACCTAAATATCCATTTCATATAGTAACTCTGCATCCTCACAGCAACTTATGAAATCAGTCTAATTGTTTAATTTTAGGTTCCAAATCAACATTCTTTCCAAAGCATTAATCTAGTGGTGAATCTATGCAATTACCAATTTTGTAAAACTTCTAACGTCTGTGTCTGGTAATTTAAACTACCGTTAAGTGCCTTTTTCTTGGTTTTTGGTACATATTTATGTAAGTATGCTTAGAAAATAAAGCAATGGCTAAGTCACACTGTGTATATCAATTTCTCCTTCCACCATGCCATAATTGTTTGCTTACAGGACATTATCACCTTCCCTTTACTAAAGATGATTAACATCTTATTTAACATTATCATCTCAATTTTCCAAAGCATTCATCTGAGTTGAAATTTTGATCTATATCCAAAAGCTGTTTAGAGTGTGTGTTAAGTGTAGAGGAATTCATGGAAATTTGATTATAACAGTTATGCAGTTATGACTTCCATGAAAAAATTAAAAAAAAAACCCAAGAAGCCAAACCAGTTTTGTCATCTGATAGTATGGCCTCCAGACAGCTGAGAAAAAACAAAACACAGACTAGAAGAGCAAGGAAAAGGTAAGCTGAGCTCAGACAATTTTTTTTTTTAATACAAAAGTAGCAAAAGCTGTTTTATGGTAATTTCGTTAGGTAAAGTTTTGAAGTGTGTTCTTTTGATTAACCTTAGTCGTCTTGTAGAATGAATTTTTGATAGAATAAAATCTCATTATCTAAATAAGTAAAAATATGGAAATGCTTATGAAAATCCTGATAACACCTTTAGATATTAAGGAAATGAGATGATCTACTTAAAACTTCAATTTCTATTTAGAAACACAACTTATTTTTTTCTTCCTTTTTTTGATATCAAAATGCCATTAAATGTTCTTTGATATTTAAAATTTTCGTTCTGGGTAGCTATCTTTCAGGATAGATATGTCAAACAATTTTTTGCTTCGCTTTTCATAATTCTTTCAGTATTCAAAGTGGAAAGAATATGAATGATTCTGTACTGGCAAGAACCCACAAAACCTGTGTCAGCAACTCTTGTATATATGTCGACTCAGTTCCTCTTGTATATTTATAAGGCAGTTGACTAAGTGCCTGAGATATTCCAGTTCCTATCACTATCTCCTGAAGGACAGCAAAGGTCTGTCTCTAATGTTATTCAGAAAATTTATGGTGATAAGAGAAGTTATACCACTCTGTCAGCCCATGAATAATCCTTTTACATGTGTGCTCCTCTATAATTACTGCACATTACAACACAGTTTATAAAACACGTACTGCACTCACTTTTTGGGTAGACCAACCATTGCATGTAATGTTACCTCCTCCCATGATACTGCCTTTCTTCCAGTTTCCTGCATTGCCTTCAGACCCTTTACATTTGATATATTATGTCATTAGGTTTTTTCTTATTTATTATGTTATCATACAATATCATACTATTAATGATGTCTGTTTCAAATAGTTGCATTTCTTTTCATACATAATGAAAGCCACAGAAAGAATTGCTCCTAGTTACTATGGCCTACAAACAGAAAACAGTTGATAAAAATAATTTAAAACTGTGTATTATATTGCAGACCTTTAAAACAAAATAATATTTCTATAACGCACAACTGGTTGCTTTTCTGTAGAGAGTGATTTGCAAACTGCTATGCAGATCACAAAGCTCACATGATGGTACAGAAATCATGCAAGATAATATATCTTCAGTTCTGAAATCGTAGTGTATATGTGGTGCATTCATCTTCAAGAGAAACACCATTTGTATTTTTGAAAGTGTATCCATTTCAGGACTATCAACTTCTGACTACTTTGGTGAGCTTAATCTGCTGCCCAACGTCTTCCTCCTTATACTTTCCCCTGAAGGTATGGCTTTGGTCATTGCTAGGCCAGAAGGGTAATAGATCTGATTCAATTTGGTGATTTCTTAACAAACTAAGCATTACATTCTAGTTTAACAGAATTAAACAACAGCTTTTACTGTGACTTTGCCAGGAAATTTATTTTGCCTTGGAACTTTAATCAGAGGTTGTGTTGATGATGAAAAATAAATCATGCGACAACAGGCCTGACTCTGAGAACTTAACCAACAACTGCCATTATTTAAAGAGTACAATTAGCATCTTTACCCCATATGACCCATTTCCCTTTCTTCAGAAGTCAGGTGAGTCAACAGCCAATTATCACTCTTCCAAAAATTAGCTAAAACCAGTTCATCTACCAAGTTACAAAATATTGTTTGTTTGGTTTTTTTTTTTTTCAGAATTGCATAATAATTTTCTTATTCATCCTAGTAAAATAGCTACTACTTTTCTCTCTGAATTTGAAATCCTTTTCTTTGATTTTGTGATCCTGATAAAACTCTGTAAGAATTTATGGACAGAATAAACATCTCCCACTAAACAATCACATGACTCAATTCATAAACTATTTGACTTTCGCTGACATTGAGGAAAAAGACCTTTCACCTTTTCCAGAAATACTAACTTCAAGTGGCATAGGAAAGGAAACGTAAATTTCCTGAAGACAGAAGAAAAGTATCTGATCTTCAGGCTATCAAACACTGACAGCTTGCAGCAAGAGATGAATCACCGGCTATATTTCAAATGTATCCCCTTAAGTGAACCTTACTCAGCTCTCAGACTCGATGCAAATACAGTCATGTCCCAAGATTTTTCTGAGAGAAACACCAAGTAAAAGCCCCAAATGCAAAAAAGTCCAAAGAAACTTGCTACAAGTCCTGCTTTTTCACTTTTGTCTTTCTAGGAGGAAATTCCCCATCATTAGAAAATAAATACACCTTGAAAACCTTCCATACCAAATGTGGGGAGGAAATAAGCTTTTTTTCAGTAAAAAACTGCCCCGAAGATATTAAGGTTTGAGCAGAAAATACTTTGAAGCTACTATTCTGTGTCATGAGAATGGAGCAATCCACTCACAAATAATAGAACCATGAGTAAAATTTAAGAATGCCTCTATAAAAGGCAATATATACGTACAAAGCATGAAGAGTGAGGACTGATCTCTGAAAGGCCACTGATTATTTCAGGACATCCAAATCAGTACAGCGAAATTCGGCAGTACCAACAGTCAGGAGAACCTAGTACCAACAGCCAGGAGAACCTAGTGCTTTTTCACGGTGGCTACAAGAACTAGCTGTTCATTCGCCCAATGAATTATATCATCTCCATAGTTTTTAGTCCAAAATATTTCCTCTGTTATCAGTATGAACAAATTCACATCACTAGACTGTGGCCATGGTAGTCCAATTTAAATAAACAGTAACTCCATTAAGCTTGTCACAAGACATAGTGATTGAAGTGGAAGTATAAAAGAATATAAACTAATCTGTAATTAATTATCAGAGGCTGAGTATGGGATTCTTACGAACCTTTGAAAAAAGGTCAAATTAAACTAAACTCAGTGAGATTAGGTAATTAAGAGTACTATTTTACTTAAAGCATCTGATATTAAATGGTTCTTGCCTTGCATTTTTCCATTCTGTCTAGACTGTTCTTATGTGAAAGCTATCACGATACTGACATTAAGAAACTTTCTTGGACTATGAAAAACAATATTAAAACATAAAGTAGAAGAATATGCCTTTATACTTGTATCAGTCCTAAAAGGAAAACATTTTACTGTTTTACCAAGTACTTTATGTAAAAAAGTTTTTTGTTCTGTACTTACATGATAAAGTGGAACTGTATTGTTTTCTGCTAGCGAGAAATTCAAGACATCTTGCTGTCCAGGTTCAAGCCTAACGTTAATAGTAGATGTCAACACAGATGGACTAATAGGGTAGTTTGGACTACTTGTGGTTTTGCCCTTTTTCCTTGACCTACGACCCGTGTCCCTTTTGTTATCTTTTTGTGTCAAAGGCTCTTCTTGGATAACCAGTATCTTGTCATCACTCAGATACCGCAGGAGTGAATTCTCAGAGTCAGTTGTTGGAGGGTGGAAAAAAGAAAAAAGGAACATTAGTAAGAAGAGAGCCATTTTGGCTGCATCTGTATTGTCAGCTTGGTTAATTCCCCACTTCACTGAAGCTCTTTCCCCTGCAAGCAAACGTATTTGTACCAAGGTTCCAATCAAGAGCAAACTAAGTAGTTAGCACAAAATCTAGGCACAGAAGAGGTGGTGGTGCATAGCCAGGTACTCGTGTGACAGATAGTATGAAGCTAGTCCACATCATATGGCTTGTGTAACAAAAAGTATAAATACAGCCAAAAGGTTTCAGTGAAATGTCAAAGATCATCACTTGGTACTATTAAACTGGAATGAGTTACGTGAATGCCAAGTGAATAGTGAGGCTTGCAGTGGACTCATTACCACATTTACTGACACCCCCTGCCATTTGAAGTGAAAGTGAGCACACGCGTAAAATATTTGTAAATTGTATCAAGCAGGAAGAATCTCTGGGGCCATTCCAGAGACAAGGATTGTAATTTCAAGGAACCCGACAAACTGGAATAATGGTCTTAAAGCAATGTGCAGTATACTTGGGCACCGTTTCAAAATGGGAACTGGCCAGGCAACAAGTCTGAGGAAAGGAATCCAGCTGTAACAGTGAAATACAAACTAAACATAAATCAGATTTGGAATAAATCAGAAAAGACTTGTGCCTTAAATGAAATGGACTTTCTCCTGGAATGGAAGATTATTGAAAAAAGTAGTTTAAAATCCTGCATCAACTTTCAAGAGTATAATTCAATTTTGTTGTATTATAAGTAGTCAAGGTGAACTCCTCTCAGCTACCCACACTATGCCTAAAATATTCTGAAAAAATAGTATTTATTTAAGAATCTTTAATAATTGACATAAGAAACATATTTGCATATGGAAGACTATTCTTTTGAATGATATAATTGCCTTTTAGCAGAGAAAAAAAGGAAAAAAGGAACTTTGCTATCACCATGCCTCTTCCAAAGTTCATAATTCCCACTGGAATCAATGGAAATTCATCTGATTAGGACTGCTGCTCTGAACAGTACAATTGCTGATTCAAATTGGTTTCAAATATTCATTCATACTAATGAAAAAGTGTCTTAAAGGACACTACCTTACATCTATAACATCACTTATTGTTTTCTAGAACTGTAAAGATTAATAATTGATTACTATTAACATATATCTGAATCTTATAAGTCTTTTTTGCCTTGATGTTTATCTTTCTTTATACTAGAACTAGAGTAAATCCCTCCTCCTACTACAAAATTTTAATTTTCAGAAATAGAAACATAAAACCCCAGATACTAAACAGGCTCTTTTATATTCTCTGTGGCACTCAAGAAAAAGAGATTTTGTTCCTGTGATATCTTCATAGTTCTTAAGCAACAAAGAAAAAAAATCTTGCAGAACAGCAGAGAAAAAAAAATAAAATACTCACCTCTGCTTCCCCTCTTGTACATGTTTTGTTCTTTTGACTCCCCTATCCAGCTGTACTCAGCAGGCATAGAAACAGGCCTTAAGTCTCCTGGAAACAATTCAAGATAACCCCATATAATTTTTGAAGATTAAAAATAGAAGGCTGTAGAGTAAGTAATGCTTTCGGAGACATGACATGACCCTTCAGAGCAATCTTTTTTATCCCACACCTATACATTATTAAATTGTAGCATTCGCAATCAATTAAACATTACATATGCCAGATTCTCCTCTTCATTATACTGCTCTGAAGGAAAGTACCACTGACTTTGGTGAAATTACTTGTACAGCAGATAATAAATTTATTTTTAAACTGTTCTATGAAAACTTGCTCACTCATTAAATAAAAGTTTTGGAATAAAGAAAGAAGCAGTTTTTAAATGGACTCGTATGCTTTAGTAAAAGTAAGCAGATTACTAATACAGTTACAACATTACATGTTTATCAGTTAAACAGTAAAACCTATCTGACCTGGAAAATCACATGGTGAGTAATGAGGGGATCTCAGTTTCAAGGAACATTAATTTCAAATGCCTTAAAATGAAAACATGGAGTGCAGTTTGGTAACAACAAAAAAGAAGATTCAGACATTAGGATTTTAATTAATATGATTTTATGGCATTATGGCTGTAAGATATTAACGTGCATTATTCATTCCTTACTATGGTATCAGTAGAACGCTGATAGCAGGCCATTAAACCAGGAATACTACAAAACTGACTATAAAGCATTAGCACTTTGGCCTTGCCAGTGTGCTTTACTATCACAAACCACAGAAACACGCCCTCTAGATTATGGGTTAAGTTCTGTCTGACCCATAAAGCCAAAGATTCCTTTTTCTGTATGCCAGCTGATTAAATTTAGTGTGCTGCTTTAGCATTCGAGTAAATTTTTTTAAAAGTAGTTTGCTACTGTTCTGTTTCTAGGATAATTATAGCATTTAAATGTGAACAAGAGTTTCTTTTTCATTATCAGTTTCCCCACGTTGAATAGAGTGACAAGGTATTTTCTGTGGATTATTTGTATGCTAATTTTTTTTTTTTTTTATTCACCATTTTTCCAAAATACAACTTTTTACCTACTAAAATGTTAGGAGGATTTAAGAACAAACATACATAACAAGTATGCTTCAGGATAACATGATTTGCTGAAAATTAAAGGGGTAACATATACCTGGAGTACTGAGATTTTCCCATATTATACTTTTGCTCATACCATAAAAGTTAGTGTATAACTAATTGTATGGAAAATACATGTAGTTTCCCTGTCTGCCTAACAGTTAAAACTACTTTTAACTACAAAGGTATTATTGAACTCCTAATCTCAAATTTGGTCTTAGAAGAACAATATTAAGGAAAAAAAACCAAACCCCAGCAAATCCACCAAAAGGAAGAATCAGTAAAATGGAAAAGAATGAAAAAGAAGTAAAGTTTATAAATTAAGAACAAAACCATGAAAATAAGAATGCACATAACAAATTAATACATAATAAAATAATAAATCATAATAAATTTAAACATAATAAAACTTAGCAGTATTTCTGTAAAGAGAAGAAAGGTCTGAAGATCTGAAGAGATTTGTAAGGCAAATGCCAGATGCCACAGCACGATCGACATCAAAAATAGAAATCTAGGACAGCAAACACACAAACCAAAGAAAGAACCAGTGATTTTGCATACTGCTTATTTTACTTCTAAGTTCTTTCCCAAACAAATGCAACCTATAAACTGTTTTAACATTACAACTTGGATATTTTTCTGGGGAGTAGAAAGTGACTATGTACAAGTATACCAGTCCAAATTGAAAGAAAAAACCCAACAACTTACTTATGATGGTTTTGCCTCTAACACATAAACAGAAGAGATTTGATACGCATTGCCGCAAGAACTCTAAATACCATAGCGTGTTAGAGTCATACTAATATTAGAGTATAATGCTTAGTTAAAAAAAAAATGCACTGCAGCAATGATAAATACAAGCTTAACACAAGTGGTTTGAGAAAATGGACTTTGTATTTGCCTCCTTAGATTTTGCATATATTATCAATACTGAGGATCTCATCTGCCTCATCCTTCCACCTACCAGCTACAAGAAATACTAGTTTCTAATAATCGCTTTAATTCTGGTAAGTCCATGGCAGGAATTTCTGAACTGTGGTTTGTATGAGTCCTAGCAATAATGAAAGCATCTGCTCAACCACGAAAGACTTCAGAAGTTTTATTTTTCTTACTTTGCCCTTGGCTATCCGGTTCCAGCATCAGATACATATTTACTGGATCTGCCGTAAATCCTGTCTTTCCACCAAAAGACATTACTGTCACTTTGATGGTTCAAATATACACCTTTAAGCCCAGAAGCACAAAACATTCTACTACACTAGAATAAAATTTGGATTTCAAAGTCTGTTAATTGACAGATTAATTTAAACTGTAGTTTAAAAGAATTCTGGTTTAACAATTGTTTTTGAAACAAAGGCATATTCCTCAGACTTTAAAAACAAATTCCTTCTTGATTTTCAAAGTTACAGAAAATCAGAACTGTCCACCATGAATACAAGAAAAATCTTGCATATTACTGTGATCAGGCACAGAGCCCAACATTTTAAGTCATCATGCAGCATGAATTTATGAAAGCAAGCCAAATACATCCATCTGGCTCCAATTTTAATCACAGTTAAGATTTAGCTTTCATTGTAATTTTATTTTAAAAAGATGTCACTTATCAGGGAGATCAAGACTGAATATTACTAGACTTAAGATGGAATCCTAATCTTCAGTGTTACAGCTCTTTCAAGCATTAAATATACGGCTGTACAAGTTACTAAAATATCATACATATAACAAAGATTTATTAAAATTTCCCTATGCTGAAAAGGTAGTGTGTGTATATACATGATCCTGTCCATTTTACAACTGATATTTTGCCATTTTCTATTATAAATCCAGCTGCAGTTTTCAAAATACAAAACCAGGACAAAAGTTCTGTTTACTTGATAAACATAAGCTAAGATTGCTTTCAAACTATTAGAATGACAAAAACAGAACCATGCTTGGAAAGTGTGATGTCCTTGGGACAGTCTAGCTATGATGAATTATCACTCTAGCTGCAGTGAGCTATCACTGCAGCTTGACATAATTTGAAATATCCTTGCAGTTGTCATATTTTCAGACTTGAATTCTACCCTCTCAGCTCTCAAAACAGTAGGTGAAGTTACTTAACTGTCACTCATTAGCTGATCTTAGCCAAAAGGTAATGCAATTGAAACCTGAAGCCAGGTAAGTCATGTAAACTACACTATAGATATCTCGCATATAATAAAAAAAACTCAGCAAACGTTAATTGACAAAGGAAAATACTTGTACATCTTAACCATCAAAATCTGTTTTGGCATCTGAGGCCATCAGTTGCCCGCTCTTCTAACATTTATGGTGGTAAGAACGCGTCAGTGTGAGAACAGGGAAGAGAAAGCTGCGTCGTCTAAGTACTAACAACTGAAAGCAGAATGGGAAACTATATTTAATATCATCCACAGTATCACATCCTGCACTAGAGTAACCAGTTCTATGACAGAGCAACAGCATCAGTGCCTGGAGTGCTAAAGATTTTTCTTTTTTTTCCCCAACTGCATTCTATTTCAGCTGTTATTGGATCTTCCACTATAAGTGCCTTTGGTATCATCTCCATTGAACTGCAGCGTGTTTTTATTACCTGTGTTCTTCACAGACACATTTTTCTTTACTACTCTGAGCTTGTGAGGGGTTTTCCCTTTCCTAGATGTCAAAGACAAAATATTTAAGAACTATTTTAACAAAATGAAAGAAAGGACAAAAACCTTGGTCTCAGAGTAGGTGAATGAAGGACTTATTGATGGCATGAAATATATATATGCACACATATAAATATATATATATCTCAAAAGATAGAACCTACCTGCACAGAATGCTATGATCAGAAGGGTGAGTCATTGCTTTCTCAGGCTCAGAAATAATGCCGTTTTCAAAATTAGATATAGTCGCAGTTTTTAAAATGAAACTTTAATCTTAAGCCTGTAAACTTTGCAAACTTTACTGCCTTGAAAATAAAACCACTGCAAATATATGGAGAACACACTGCTGTATTTCAGTAGTATTCTTCTAAAATTCACCAAACACCAAGCCAATCAGTTTTAACAGATAAACAAAAAAAAATTCTGACAATCCATTTTCAGCAATGCATTTTATACACTTATACTCACGTACATGTTTGTATACCTGTATGCCCATACAGATTTACATACCCATGAAATTTCTATGTAAAGTCAGAGTATTGTTTTAACAACATCTAAAATATTTAAGAAGTCACTGTTCTAAGATTTTGAAATATATTTCTAGTATTATCAAATGCATTGTAGGATACTACTCGTGTAATCGTATCCATTTAATACAGCACTGAATTTTGGAGGGCCCTACATCTTATGGATACTTTCATACCACAAGTAAGTATCTTTTCAGGCCCTCCATTGAAGTTTAACAGTCCAGAACATTGCAACTAGAACAATCTCCAAGCGCTTGTGCATGAAATTGAATAAATCAAGATGCTAGCTATCCAAAGAATATGAACTTAAGTATCTTTCCAAATTTTAAGTATACACTGCAGAACAAATCTATAAATAACTTACACATTCCTGATCCTGTATATTACCTTGTAATTATATTAATTATTCCTTCATATAAACTTTTGTCTAGTGTTCAGAGTCAACAGGTCATGGTCTAACAAAGAATGACAGATATTTGGGGGTGTTACAGTGTTAATAGTGCAATTTGTAAATCCGATCAATTGAAAGACGTTAAAGAAATCACACCTACCATGAGTGGGTGTTTTTTCTCTTCTCCGCACTCCTGTAGCTCTGCTTCTCTCATACTCAGAGCCCACAGGGTGGCCTTCACCTTCAATTAAGGTGTAGTATTTCCCACTTTCATGCTCCAGAAAATAGCTTGGAGACTCAGAGCCTTTCATTCCAGACTTTCCAAATTTGCTGATGTCATCACAAGACATTATTCCAATTTCATCCCTAAAACCAGCAAACCAGAAGATTATGGAGAAATTAACTATCTTATGATAAAGCTAAAGCATACAACTTGCTCTCCCAAACTTTAATAAAAGTGATTCAACAAATGTAAATTAATGAAATGATAATTAGGTGCCATTTTAACTGTAATATAGACATAGTTATTCAGGAGTTTTTTAGCATTTGAAAGGGAGCACAAGAACTGGTGGAACATGAGAAGGCAAGGGTTTCCCTTGCAGAAATGTATGCTTTAGAATAAGATACAAATGGTCACATAAAAGTAAACAGAACTAAATGATTAAAGACTTCCCAAATGCTTTCTTGCTTTAGGACTAAAATCAGGTTTTGCTCAACTTGTATCTAGCTAAGTGAAAGTTAAGTTTCTTAAAATAATTATATGCTGCTTAATGTATCTCTAACTCTTAATTATACTAAATATTTAGTTTGACTGTGGGGTTTTTTTTGTTTGCTTGTTTTTATTAATCTAGTGAAATTAAAGTGTAAAATTTTATTTTTCAAAACCTCAAATTCATTAGGACCTAAATACCTGGGGCCATAAAGTCCTGACATAGGAGACAGAATGAAAACATCCTGGAGCGCTGAGTTCTCCATTTTTGAGGATATGCCCATTGTACTTGTTGGTGTTGTAGAACTGCTTGTTGGACTGGTTGGAATTACAGGCTATAAAAAAACAAAGAAACAAACACATGAAGAATAAATTAATGTTTTCTGTGCTACAAGTAACAACAAAGTCAATGTGCATAATGTTAGGAATCTTGACCTCTTTTTTTGGATTAGCCATTTTTTCAAATTACTGAAGTTTCTTCCAAAGAGATGCCTACTGAAACACTGTTTACCAAAGAGTTCAAGACACTTTGTTATGAAAGAAAGTTACGAAAGAAAATGATAAAAGACCAGTAGTGAAATAAATTTAAAAGCAATCTCATGGAAAAATCAGACTCAGAATGCAGCCAATGCAGAAAATCAATTATATGGGGAGGAAGGACATACACTATTAAAGACCATTAATACAGAAATTAATTACAGAACTCTGGAATACTTGCACTGAATGAAAGTTTTTATAATCATAACATTGGTCTCAGTACAAGATTTATTGTTAACAATGACAGAATACCTAGATTTTTTAAAGAAAACAGAATTCATAATCATCTATTATTTCTCATTTTTTATTGAAACCATAGCCATGATGCTTGTATCATGGCCATACAAATATAGGTTCTATGGTGACTAGCAATGAAATATAAGTTAACCACATCAATAAATGTGAGTATCATAAATATGAAAAGTATTAATAAAGTATGGGGGTCTTTTTTGATTTTATTTTTTTTTTAATTTTTAAATTAAGTTAAACACAACTTTTTTTATTCAAATACCATAGGGAAGCAAGACAATGGCTATAGGGATTACAACCAAATATTCTGTGCAGGATACAAAGATATACACAAAGAATATTTTTCAACTAAGGTACAGTCTGTGTTTATATTCAAGAAATAGAAAATAATTTTATTTAGTATTATTGTTTAAATTATTTGTATGAAAAATACAGAAAAGTGCTTAAATAGATACAATTAGTTTTCTACAGGTGGAAGGTAAACACAGTGACCTAGCAATTGGATGAAATTTATGAAGACCAATTATAATCTTTTCCTAAATACGAGGCTTTCTGTCTTCTAAACACTGAAATTATTTTTATGTGATTCAACAAGTATGAGCAATCCTAAATACCAAAAAAGGATGTTTTTTCATGACAATATCAGTCTGCATAGGGGTCCAAATCATACTACTCTTCTATGCTTACTGTTAAGCCTCTTATACTCTGATCAAATGTTTTAGGTTCGGTGGTTTATTGTGGGTTTTTTTGTTTGTTTGTTTTTTGTATTATCAATACAAAGAGATAAGAAGCAACTGCCAAAGTCAAGAATCATTCACTACTTACTTTCTCATATCTTTGCAAATTAGTGCCTACCACCTCATGCACAGTATCAACCACTACATTTACAATGCTACCATTATTTCTGCAGTTTTGGTGTGGCAGTATTAATAAAGAGACTAAATACAAGATATTCTATTAATCCCCCACTTACCTGCAGCTGGATGCAGTTTCACATGAGTCAAAACATAAATCATCACCATCACAGAAAGACAAGCAGAAACTCCATTTCAGAATAAGAAAAGAGATTACCTATACCAAGTCTCTTGTGAACAATTTCTTTTCAATGGTTATATATTCAGCAGTCGTCAAGGTTACAAGTTAGTGAAGCTGGGAGACATAATAATATCACTGTTCAATTTGCCCCCAAAAGGGGCAATAGCCATGTTATTCCTGATAGATTAAAAAAAAAAATCTAACCTTATAGCACTGTAATCTTTTTTGCTTCAATTTAATTCAATTCTTGTCCGACCCATTCCAGAAAGTGAGAACTTTCCTTTTCACTCTTCTTTAATTTTTTAATTTATTTTTACATTCTGAATACTCCGTTTCCTCTTTTTTTTTTTGCAAGAACACAAGAAAACCCCCTAATTCTTCCCTTATAGGGCTTGTTTTCTAAAGCACTAATGACTTGACTAGGTGTACCCAGTGTATACCAGGTGTGCTCAGTACCCAGCTGAGATTGCACTAATACTGAATAAAGCACAAGAATTATTTCACTTATGTTTTATATTCCTATTCATGTTTCTCAGACAGGTATTCGAATTCCTTCCAACATGACATTCAGCTTTTTGTTTACTGGAATTTCCACATTATTTGGAATTATTGCCACATTATTCAATTGCTACATTCTTTAAAACTGCCATGGATTATTTCCAAGTAGAATACTTTAAACTTGCCCCTCCTTCATTTCATTACATTTTTAGAGCTTTTTCCTAGTTTTCCAAACTCATTTTTGATTACTAGGCAAGACTCCATTGCATTTGCAGGCCCACTTGGTTTAGCAGTGTACGCACATTTAGTAAGCAGATCCTTCAGGTTGTCAGGAAAACATGGAACAAACCCACATGCATCACCTATCTGTTGATACTAAAATGATACAACCTCCTTTGTTTGATAGTGAGTCATTAATAGCTATTATTACTGCTGACCATTAAATCTGTTTAATGATTTCTTCATAATAAATTCATGTTGGTTTTACTCATCTGTTATCTTCCAAGTGCTCGCAAACTGTTTGTGCATATTAAGTGACTGACTTCTAATTCACTGGCTCTTGCATTTTCTCTTTCTGAAGACAAGCATTAAACTTCTTGTTTTTCTAACCTTACTGTAATTCATCCATCTCTCAATTTCACAATAAACATGTTTGAAAAATAATGGTCCAAGAGTGCTTCCCCCGCAAGGAAACAGCAGGTCATCTTCTTGGCTTTTCAAATGCCATACCATAAGAGCTCATCCACTGAGTCTACAGAAATGCGTGCTCTTGAAGCATAAGGAAGGGGTTTAAGTTTTCAAGAAAATGCGCTGCTTCATGATTGCTCTCAGACAAGCTCTCTCCTGCCTTCTCCCTCTCAGCTTTACTTATGTTCTCTACCTTCTCTATGAAAAATACCTGTTTTCAATGCTTTCAAGACTTTGCCAGTCATTATGTCTTTGGAAAAACGTCTGTTTCTATCCCTTTCTCAAAGGATGCACCCAATCCAAATAAACCATATTGAATGATTCTGCTAGTTGCTCACAAGAAACCTTTTCCACTCATCTCTCCTGGGAGTCTTTAATGAAGAGAAGAGAGCACCTGCTTTCTCCTCCTCTATCATCACTCAGATAATTCCAGCAAACGTAATTCTTCTATGATGTGGAGCTCAGAGTGAAGTTAGTAAAGATGTTATACCTTCACTCTGAGCCCCAGAATGCCTGTGATAGCAGACATCAAATTTCAGTGGTTTTAGGTATCAGCAAAATAGCACAGGGATCTTTTATTAAAACATTAGTTTAATAAGAGTATTTAATATTTATA